ATTGTTTGCGGGTTGTGGGTGCGGTTGGAAGAGGAGGAAGGGAGGCCAAGTGATGACTTGATCGAGAGGAATGAAAACCCTCACTTCGAAACTGGCGTCAGTTTGTGCAGCCCGACTGCCTGACTGGGGTCCTAAGGACGATGAAGACGTTTGGTTGAACACACTTGCTGAAATGGCTAGAAGCAGGCCCCAATGGCGTTTGTGTTGTGAGTTTCTTGGTCCATCCCCCTCCAATCCCGATCTCATGCAAAACACTTACTATACTATATAACATCATACTTTTTAGTGTAATGTGTGTAATGTTTAGTGTAATTTGTTAGCCTCTTATCTTTTTGTGTTGCGGCCTATTAGCTGAGATGTTTTTCTCAACCCTAGCTAACGTGTACTGATGACGATGATGATCGGTGGAAGAGATCGGTATCTCAACAACGAATAATGTCGCTTGTATGTAGAAAACCCAGGGAAAAGAATTTCAACTTGCCCCATGTGAGTTTGGCTCGCGAAAATTTAGGCGTTTTCCCAACCTACGGTGACCCAGGATTGACTGCACCTTCCACACCCTGCTCCCCAATTACCCAGTTTCCTTGATGTCCTCACGTTTACTCCCCTAAACCGGCATTAACCCATCAGGTCCCACGGAGAACACTGTAGATGACTTTCCTAACGAAATTGCGTTTTGGTCCGTGATTAATAATGCTAGGTCTGTTTTAAACAAATAGCATTTTCTCCATAACCGCTTTTCATCAGCCAATTCTCAACTACTTCTTTTTACTAAAGCTTGATGTGTGAGTAACACCCCATACACCTTTCTTTTTCTTTCTGAGTAAGAAATGTTCGGGAAGCAGCCCTGTAACAGAAGTGAGGGCGGTTGGCTGTCTATGTACCCACTTCATATGGGGAGTTCCTAGTGGATGATTCTCCACTTTGCACCGGCCCAACGCAGATGTTCGTTAGCTGCGTTTATAATATACCACGAGCTACTCTGGCTGTGACTATAGTTTTAACTAAACTCCCTAGCTATACCTCTGAGCTGCCGTATCAATCCAAACCGATCGCGCAGATTTCATTATGCCGGGTATCAGTTAGTATCAGCTTTAATTTTTGACCAGTGTAAATGCGAACGCGCGTGCATATGCCCATACAATCACCAGATTCATTGGTATCCTCAATTTCATTTTCCTCATATGGATACGTTCGAAATTGTTTTGTTTATTCTACACATTTCGTGACAGTGACCAAACTGTGAACTGTGCTTTTGCGTTAACAGCAGCACAGCAATCACAAAAAATGTTATCGACTGTTCAATCTGACACAATGGAGGGGTTTGCTGCACTCATAAGATTAAACAACAAACAGATATTTTCCTTCTGAGTGAAATATGCACAATCACAGGAGAATTTTCTTCGTCAACAAATACATTGATGTCGTCATCTTGCTGCTGAACACAAAAGCAGCATCCGAACAATAGTAAACTGAATATTACACTGAAACTACACCAACTTAGAATGTTATAGCAGAAAACACACGAATTCTCGGTACTCCATCGGATATAATCCATTTGGGACCATTACGATACAAATGGGAAGCCAACCTTACATATTAACACTATCATTACTACCAGAGTACTAACGGGGTTTCTGAGGTGGTAGACTAAATGTAGCTATGACACCTATCCATGCATCATAGTTAAAAATGGCACCTACTCGAGTGATACGTAGGCAATCTGCGAGGAATTCGCTTCTTACTGTTCAAAATACATAACTAATGAATTTTTGCCAATTCCACAAAGTCCCAACAACTGCAGCAATCGCTACTGCTTCATAAGTACAGCGCACAGTAGCTAACCTGCGACGCCTTCTTGCCAGGACGGTCATCCACTAGTAGCAGTTGATTTTTGTGCTCCTGATATCCCGTTTCCACGTTGGAAATACTTTAACGCGTCAGTGGTGTCTAGCACTTTTTCAATAACTGAAAGAAGTTTATCATCATACCTAAATATATAGAGCTTCATTGTGCAATATTATCCATTATCACCCCATTGGATATACTCCAGGGACCCACAGGATTACGGGGCTAATGGATGAATGGGCGATACTTGACTGCCTGCCTTCATACAACCTTAATCACGCGTTACAACGAAGCTTACTAACTGTTGGATATTGTGTCTATTAATTAAAATACTTTACTTGTCTTAGATCTGCCGCTGACTCTGAAGCCTCCATCGAAATCCTCTCTCTGAATATGCAAGATGCTTTTGTTCGTATGCCTCATAATCGGTTTCTCATTAAAATCGAGTCGTTCGGAATAACAGGTCCAGTACTTTCATGGTCTGGTCATATTTGGCAGGTCGAACATAACTTGTTCATTTTGGTGATTGTATTTCTTCCTCCCAACTCGTTATAGGTGCAGTCTGACAATGAATTTTTCTTGGCTGGTTAAAAGTTTTTTATACGTGAGCGATGTAATCGTCCTGTCTCCACCTGGTCGTGCCTTGCTTTGTGTATTCGACATCAATATTATCGTAACATGAAGTCAATCAGCCCAATCTACCCATCTAAGGTATCAGGGAAGGGTTCCATAACAGTGGGCAACATTAGTGCTGCGTTTCATCTCATTGTCGCCTTTTACGAGATGTATGGAACCGGCCCAGCAAATCTGCGGTGCTGGCGCAGAAATTAATTTAACGTCGTACAGTGTATTCGGGCCCAGCTCGAAAAACCAATCAAAACCTCAGTGTATTCTCACTCCACTCTACTCTTACATACTATCCTTACTCGGCCATCATTAACTGGAGGCTTTCATGTCCATATGGAAGCTAACAAATTTGCCAACCGATTTGTATCACCCATCTTCGCTCCACTTTTGTTTTCCGCCCTTAATTTGTCACGTCTGTCGTGACGTTTTTGTTTCGCCATAAAAGCCAAAGCAGACTGAACTCTGGCTTACTTGCTTCCAGCTTTTCACATTCATGTACGCAACACCATACTGATAAGGATTAGCATGTGCGTGAACTCTTGTTTACAGGCTCATCATTTTCACTCTCTTCTCCATCTCTCCCACTGCTTATGTCACAAATATTGCTCATTTTTGCAAAGTGACATGCCATTCTTATAGTTGGACCGCGCATTCTTACTGTGTGATTGAAGCTTACACATGAAGATGCTGGTTCCAGAACTTCCAAAAAAGCTAACTGAAATAATGCTATAATTTTTCACTAACGCTCTGATGTTAACCTCGTTCATTATTTTTACGAACTGTACCAAGGATGGCATCTTTGAACATGAGGAACGGAAAATTAAAATGTGCGGATGGCACTGGAATCGATTGAGATTACAGAATGTTATTGGGCACAGAAGTAATCCGAGCATACTTGCATACCTTCATACATCCGACACTAGTGCGCTCTACATGCTAACATTCGCATTTGAGCGTGCTCGTCTAACTTTATGCGAGAGCGCGAAATATCTGCAATCCGCTGGATCTAACTGCATGAGATCAGCTGTTTGTAAAGTCGATAACTATGCCGTTTATCCCGTTAGCTAGGTTACCACGATCGACTCTGTTACCACGCTGAAATCGTCGGTGTAATGTTTCCACTAGCGTGGAAATGTATCATTGTCCATATATATTACCATCCCATCTTGTTGTATGCGTGTCGTTCTTGCAATAAGGTTAGACAGATTCGTATTAGATTCTATCAAAATCAAATTTGGTATATCACATTGCTTCGGTATTAGGGTCACCGCGGTTTCAGATACCTAATAACCTTCTGCCAAACCTATCTACTTCAGAATACTTACTTTATTCCGATGAGCCCAAAGCCTGACGAGTTATCAAGTGGCCAGAACATCACAAACAACTTCAAGGCCACCCCAATAAGCTTTACGGTGGTCAGTACAGAATCTTCTTCAATTTAACGCAGTAACATTTAGGATGTTCCGTCCAAAATACCATATGTATCGCCCTTAGAAGCTGGTTGACTGGGGGTTACACAGTATTTTTGTGGAATGGATTTCTACATGCTGGTTCAGAAAGACCTCGAATGATGGGAACAATTCGAATTGGCGTCAAAGCAGGACGTTCGAAACCTAGATCTTTCGCAGTCGTCATTAGGACATAATGGTAGTCTGTTTCCCCACAACTGCTCTCTGCATTTATGCACCTCCTCAGGGAATACTCACATCAAGCTTTGTGCCAGTGAAGAGAGTGTACACTGTGTTAAAGATCCATTAAGGTCATGCGACGCAGAGTGGCAAAAGTTCGTGTCATCTATTTTATGAATGATATCGGCGTTTGTGTGGTCACTATATTTTATGTTTACCAGATTTTAAGCGGATCAACCCAAGTGCGGCCCCGTGTTGAAGTTCAGCCACCATAATGGCGTGAGAGACTATTGTTTCATGGTAGTAGAACAATAGAGGTATTTTGGGTGCCGTTCTGATTTCCTTTCCTACTTGTTTGTCGCACATGTATTACGCTCCTAAACTATGTCATAAACGCTGTATTGAATAGGTTCAGGGACAGTATACATAGTACTGTTGCCCGCTTACGCCGCCTCACATAACTGACATACCCCATGTGAACATCAGAAAACCAACACGAGAAAACTGCCACATATAACTCGGGTTGGCAGCTGAGCTTCAGATATTTTGTTTGATTACCAACTGAGGTCACTTTGCTGGGAAAACCAAAATCATCAGCCTTACCTATTGCAGTAAACTACGGCCTTCGTATCCCTAGTATACCATTGACTCATATCACGTCTAGTTATCTTGGTTTTTTGTCCCTAATCTACCCAGCCTGCTTTTTACTGTAAACGAGGCGCCATCCTGTTTCTTAACCGCACTGACTACAATTCTTCGCAATACACTGGAAACGCATTCGCCGCTTTCCTTCTCAACATTTCGCTCCCCTTTTGTATACTGCTACAACATTCCTGTCCACGTGGACTATATCCGAATGTAGACAACAGACGATATGACCTGTCTGAGACAACTCACCGGTATTAGCCTGTTTCGTCTCTGCTCCTCCTCTAGTTTAGCAAGTTCGTTGGGCGTCAGTAGAGCCAGACGTAAGCAACTCATCACCATGGCAACTTCCTCCATGGCTTGTTGCATTGTTACCGAACCGGAATGTGGCACCTCCGTTTCATGGGAAAGGTCTGTTAAAGTGATTTCCGAGGACACTTGCGGGCTTTCGTCTCGAAGGGGCACAATGTTAACAACTGAGGCTCTGGTTTGGCTTCCTCCTAGTTTGGCACTGCAATCTCTTGCACGCTGTAGAAAATTCTCTGCCCAGAAGCAGGCCACTTCAACCACGCGCATCTCTTCCAAATCTAATGAGTCGCTTTCCAAGATGCATTTCATGGCTTCAGCAGTGAGATTCAGGAGATCACTGTTGGTTGGTGTTAATAGTGACTGAAAAACAAAGGAGTGTGACACTGTCTACTCTGTTATACCTGAACACTGACGATACACCAGCTGACGCCTCAAAGAGTGCACTTGAGAGAGGAATTGTACTTACCATAAGTTCATGTAACCAAACACTGCACTATGAAGCCTTAGGACAGTGTACAGAGTTTCAACGTAAAGTCTCGTTTCGTTAACAATATATCTATCAAGACCACAGTGAAACCAGATATATCCCACTAATTTTCCGTTTCACTGTCCCCACTATCATCCCTACCATCACTAATCATAGCAGCAGTACACGCCGTAGATTTGGTGTCGCATCCGCCGGGGTGGCATTGCTATCTCCTTGCGAAAGCTCAACTTCCAGTCGCTGCTCGGTGGCTAATTTTAGTTGACCCCCACCTGATAGTATTACAGTAGTATCCAACTGAGTTCATGGTGATGCACCCGGAGAGGACATGTGCACCAGATAGCCAGTAAATTAGTGCACTCAAACAAAGGTAGGGTTGGGAAAACCATGGTTAACGTTATTGTCAATTCACCCACACACAGCTTTGCACCATCTGTCTGACATCCCTGTCGTCTGTTCCTTCTCGCTTTTGCACACATCTGTCCCGTTACACATCGCCCCCATTGCACTTACCCGTGAAAGTAGGGAGTTGTACAGCGGCCATCTCATTGCAACGGGTTCCATGATCTACTGTAATAGTCGGCGTGTCCAAGATTGTTGAATCCGGTCTTCGTGACCCGTCTGTACAGCCGGAAGTACGGTAGTTTGGTACAATGGATCCATTATTCTTGTTCTTTTCTACATCTACTTGTCGCTAGAATGTCTTGATTCAATTAACTTATCTAAGTATCATGCGGGCTGGGGAGACTAGGAGGAGTTGTAGAGCATACGCTGTTAATGTCATGGTGAAGAAATACTCAGAAATCCTCATTATTCTGGAACAGCCAAGGAAAGAAGAACGCAAAACCACAAGGTCAGATGTATCGTTACTCATCAACTGGAAACTGTCGCTTTCGTTTATTGCGCTTCCGGGATTTTGGAGACATATTCTCCCAGAAATCAATGATGCGCAGAAATATCACCAAACAAAAGGGATGGATCTGCAGCAAAGTTCTGTCTACCTAACAGGGCTGAGATTTTGCATTCGTCAGTATAGGTAGGTAATGGTGTGCAGCGCATTGGATGAGTTCAACAGTCTCTGAGTTGAAACGGGAAATACTGTCTGTCGTAGACAGGTAAGGTGATGAAATATGTCGTAGATGTCTTGGAATTCTTGGCCTTGCAAACAAATACGCTTTCTTACTAGACCAGATCTGCTTGATGATAAGTATAAGAGCTACCGAGGGCTCAGGTGGTAGAGCAACGGACCGGAAATTCGTGGACCGGGGTTCGACTCCCCGTCGAGGCATATTATTGTGCGTGAATTTTAATCGTGGCTTCTACTTTCTTCGAACTTTACACTACTCACAAACATCAACCATTAATAAGTATAGTTGTCCACTTAGAAAAGTGGAGGACGATATAGGAAACGAGAATATCTTTGCCTAAAAGAGAATATGGTAGTGTTTTTTGAGCTACAGAAAACAACAAAATCAATGGACCCTTTGAACCTTTGAGCTCCATACAGAGATATCCCCTTGGGGGATCTTACTGCCCAAGTTACTTATCCGAGCAATTAGTATTGTCAGACGTGAGCGCTCTTTCTCCAAACTAAAGCTTATAAATAAATACCATCGATCAGCAATGAATTAGATAACGCTTATGGAGTGATAGCTATCTCCATAGAAGGCGAATGAACCGATGGACAGGATTTTGATAGTGTTGTCTATAATTTTGCTTTAAGTAAAGCACGAAAAATGCGTTGGTAACTTTTCTACTTGAGTAACGTAACAATCTAAATGCCCGCACATACAGCAGCATTGTAAAATTAAATCTTTGATTTTTGTTCTATGGAACGGAATATTGAAAGGCTATTCACAACCTTGAGGGTTTACAGATTTGTAAACGCCGGTGGACGAAAATCTTGAGGCCGCCCTGAGCTGCAAGAGCAGTTGCTACGCCACTGTCGATCCACGAACGACTGAGATGCGAGCAGGCACTCAATTGGCAGTCTTCACGAGAGAAGAGCGTTAAACAAGCTACTAGCGCCGGTTCCGTGCCATGCATAACAATGTGACGGTTCGAACGCAGATAGAACTGCGTTGACCCTAAGCTGCGAAAGAGCATGTAGTTTGTTTGTTAGTTGTTTTATTTCATACCACCAATGCATCGACTGACGTTACGGAGCCTTACTCCATCCAAAAGAAGGCAATAAAGACGAAACTTTTGGATGTACCAACGGACGCCGCGGATTTTGGATTACCGTGCTAGATTCCAGTTTTTCTTCCGGATTACTCTGATATACGTGATTTTGCCGTGTGAATTGCGCACCAATATTTTCCTTTTGGTGTTTTCTTCAATCTGTGTAAATTTGGTTGAGGTTCTCTGGCTACTTTCGGGGTTCTCATTCGTTAGCCCAACTACCGTCTGTGTGGGCCATCTTGGATTTGTTGCACTTCTGCACACGTTCGTTGAATTGTGGCTGTTATCGACAAACGTAGCCGTGGAATCTAACCCACCTATCAAACGCCAACTGCGAGAAAACACACAACGTTGGTTTTTGTTGCATCAGTATATTACCTTGGCGTTTGAGTCTGAATCTCGACAAGCTTAGATCGCAATGGCCTCACTGAAGTCTCACTGTATTCAGCAAGCTAAGCGTAGTGTACTTTCCACGCCACCGGCCAAGCGAATAAAATTCGAGGCCCCAAAAGAAAAGCGAAGATGTTCCTCGGCTAAAACTACACTCATTGCACAACTAAGTGATAAATTACTTTCTTTAAAATCACAACTTAATGAGATGAGAAAAACGCTGGCACTTTTTCAACCCCTCAAAGACCACCTGCTTACGCTTGACTACATCAATAACCCATTGGAGAAGACTGCTCCTGTTCTAATGGGAAAAGCAAGGCAGTTAATTGCCTCTGTTGCCTCTGAGGTGCACGAACGAATATGTAGAGCAAAAAATGTGATTGTTTTTAATGTTCAGGATTGGCTGAGTCTGGAGAAAGTAAAATTAATGATACTTAAAGCTTCTAACATGTCTATGGTTGATTGTAAATCCTAACGTTTAAATAAGAAGACACCGAAACATTGTTGTCCAATCATGTTAAAATTTTTGAGCGAGGAATTCGCGCAGCGATTCTTTCATTGTGGACCCTTACTAGGCCAGTGCACCTAATTAAAGTTCATTTTGAGTAAACCAGATAGGACACACCTACAAAGATCCGAATTTGGCACTGTGCTGCGAACACCGGACAAAATACTAGACTCTTTGAGAAATCAGCTAAACGTCCAAAATACGAGTGCATCCAAGGTGGATACTAGGTGTATTGATTTAGACATTGATAATCTAGCAACCTTGTCTACTAGCTCCAAAACCGTCCTTCTTTGCTCCATTGAAACACCCTCTACACAGGGAACGGATAAAACGGGTTCTCCGATTCCTGACAACAACACTCCTATTGTATCGAACTCCACATGCATAAGGATTAAAAGAAAGTCTAGTGCTTGGAACTGTGGAGCAATGACAACTCGTTTAATATATCACAACCCGGTCCAAACCAATAAGATACATCCTAGGATAGACAACCTGGTGTAACTCATAGTCCACTGTCGCCCAAGGACGACTTCTCCAATCCACGGACCTGTGTCTTTAAAAGACCTATAGATACTAAATACTCGGTCGCACACAAAGTTCCCTACCGACCAACCTCCTACAACCACCAGGGCAAACAACCTTCCATGCTGAATAAGACCAATAACAACTGTCTCTTGGCTACGCCTAATTATCATCCCACACTCCACAACAATCACTGGAAGTGCACAGATAGTGGAAGGACGTCGACTAGTAAGACTATGTTATCACCCGTACTTTTCCATGTTCCTTCAACCTTTCAAGCGGTTTTTTCCAACAACGATTTGTTAGCGGCGACGGGAATGGACTCGCACTCATTCCCATCTCAGATACATTCGGCGGAGGTCAACATCTTGATCCCACTATTCATCCAATTTGTCCAGATGACAAAGCTAGTCCATTGCCAAACCAACAGCAACCTAAGCATGATCCCTGGGTTCCCATCGTGCTCCTAACTGTCCCGACATCCACACATGACAAGCTACCCTTATCAACGAACGTCCTAATGGTTAACTCGGGCTCACCATACTCGCACTTGCTTACTATGTTCACCATACTCGAGCGCAAAGATTCAGACGATTACACAACGGACAGTGATCATTCCCCATACTTATTACCTTTTCAGTGATTCTGAGTAATGTTAGATCCATAATCAACAAATTTCATTTTATAAACACATCTGCACAGTTCAATGACCCACAAGCGATCCTCCTCACTGAAACATGGTGTTCTTCAGATACACTTGACCATACTCTGATGATTCCAAACTACCACCTATTTCGACAAGATCGCTGCGACAGAAAAGGTGGAGGGTGTATTATATACCTACGCAAAACATTTACAGGTAAACCTATAGATCACGCACAACTGGAAAATATTCCTGAATCTATTTGGCTGTCAGTTACGGGTGTCGCATTTTACGCACTGCTCGTATGTATCTACAACCCACCGAATGCGTTTAAGGTAAGTATCACCAACATCACTTCTGCATTTAACTTCGCATCAGAGTTGCCACACAGCCAGAAGATTATTGTCGGCGAATTCAACCTGCCGAAAATACGCTGGTCATCCCACCCCCAACGTCTACTTGTACGCCTCTTTTCTTTCTTTCATCAGAGCTTGGGGCTGGACACAATGAATCACCAGTCCAACCAGGTCCACCAATGTACTGGACTTAATATTCACATTGGGGATACCCAAACCACAGACTGAGATCTTAAACAAATTCCCTGGCAGCGACGATAACATGATCCGACTCAGATTCCAAATTAAAATGGTCACTAAACTCGCCTCTACAATGCCGGTTGCAACCCATAAGATAAACTGGGAATGCTTTCAGCAGTTCATTCGTTTCTCCGACTGGGATGTATTTTTCCTCTCTACCAGTGTGCACACCGCTGTGGAGCAGTTCTATAAACAAATCCATCACACTATAGCCCTCTTTGCTCCCCGATGTATTCACACTCCTCATGCCTCCAAAGCTCCCGTCCAGCACTTAATCAACAAGAAAACCAAAAAGTTAGCTGCAAGATACAGAAGGACCCATGACTTTTCACTTGTTTTACATATGCATAAACTTACCACCAGAGTCAAACACGCGCAATTAACACGACAAACAGCCCTACGAACAAGCTGCAAAGCTAGGGAACATGTCAAAATACTGCATCGTAGAACCAGTCACCGCTCTCCTCTAATTATCGAAATTGATGATGATAAGGGTCACTTACTCCATGACCCAGCTGAAATCTGTGAAGAGTGCCATGGCATTTTTGCCACTAACATGAATCTCGAAGCTGACGCGGTACATGTGTGCACAGAGCTTAGAGAAACAAACCTCTTAAGCAGAGTCAATATCTCGCTCAACGCTATGCATCAAGTTATCAAATTAAACAGGCCATCTTCTAAACTGAGATCTAATTACATTTCACCAACCACCAATAAACTAGGGGGACCTGATTTACCATTGCTACTGATGAACATGTTCACTCTATCACTGGAATCCGACCAGCTATCAGACCAATGGAAAACGTTATTTATTCTGCGTTGTCATAAAGGAGGTCCCAAACAAACGATTGATAACTACCGACAAATCCACCACACTCGATCGGCTATTTGAAAAGCTAGTCAGAATGGAGATGATGAACTTTGTCGATTCTATTGGCCTAATCAATAATTCGCAGCACGGTTTTCTCAATAAGCGATCGTGCACCGCCTGTCAACTGCACTACCTTAATCACATTTCAGAAGCAATCGATTCCGGCAGTGCAGTAGTAATCTAGTTCCTTGTCATACACCAAGCTTCGACCGAGTACCGAACAAGCGACTGCTATAAAAGTCGCAGAACTTTGGGATCCGGGACCACTTACTAGGTTGACTATCGTCATGCCTAAATGATCGTCGTCAGTTAGTCACTTTAGGTAATTATCGCTCTTCCCCACGCTCAATCACCAATGGAGTCATTCAAGGGAGCATGTTCGGCCCCTTACTCTTTTTGTTCTACATCAATGACATAACCACATCTATAAAACATGGTACATCATTTTTATTTGCTGGTGATATCGAACTGGCCTTTAAGTTTCGGCATGACGAGCTTCGCGGGACATTACTGCTCATTCAAGATGATTTGCATTCCCTTGAGTCATGATGCTGCACATGTGTGATGAACCTCTCGGCTAAGAATTCAAGCAGCATGTCTTACGGCTGCTGCATCCCGGAAGGATCTATCACACTAAACAATGAAGGCGTCCCTACACAGTTGTCAACGCGAGATCTTGGTATTAGGTACTCGTCTACCTTCAATTTCTCCGAACAGGCCTAATACCAAGTAGCACGTGCCAGACAGTCTGGGTTCAATATATCAAACAAAATACACAACTCGTGTTAGAGTTGAGCTTTTCAAGCTACTCACTCGCCCCATCCTCAAATGCTGCAGCCTAATATACGGAAATATGCGAAAGAATGACAGCATTGCTGTGGAGAACCTGCAGAGGTCATTTACTAAACGTCTGATTGGTAAATACTCTGCTATGAGTCATCGAGAACGTTGCAATGAACTTCATCTCGAACCACTTTGGATTCGACGATTGAAGCCCAATTTGTTGCTGCTTTTCAACACGTTACACAAAAAGACCTATTCCAACCTATCTACACTCAATCTACAACATTGCTCAACTCAAGCGCTTCGCAACAAAGGTTTTACATTAAATATACCGAAGGATAGAATGAATGTCCGCTCTAATCTCTTCCTGGTCAGACATAGCTATCTGTGGAATAAACTAAAAAGAACACCCAGGTCATGTGACAATGTGGCAACATTTAGTAGCAGACTAGCCAATTACCTTGATCTAACTACCCTAAGCTCTATATTCACATGAGAAAAGTCCCTCGATGAACTATACCAAGAGGGGCCCAAAAACATATAAACACCAATGTTTACATAACTAGACTTTGGCGTCAACCATCCGCGGGAATGTTACTGCATGAAACGCATATCCCAATAATCCACCTATGCATGTCACCTATGCCAGAGCACGGATTCTTTTGTACACATTGATTTGTGCCGCTATAGACACAGTTTCTGTCATCAAGAGAAATATACCTATTGTTATGATTATTAAAGAGGGTAAGTAGCGCGTATCCGAATCAAAATAGTTTGCGCAATCCCAAGTATCAGTATGTCGAATTGTTCGGTTCTTTTCAATCGCGTTTTCAGTGAACCAACATAAGAAACGCCGAATGGATCTCATCTAAAGGTCCCATGTTTGTAACCCAACTAGTGCCACACGACAAGAGCTGAGCTTTGCAAGCAACGATGGTTAAATGGAATAAGGAAGGCGCCGCTGTCGTGGAGGTCACGACGGTCCGTGACGTTAAAACTGTTGCATACTGATAGAGTCACTTCTAGCCATGCAGCAACCGTACTAGGTTCAGTAAACACAGGCCCATCAGTGCGAATTCAGCCACCAATATTGTTCGAGCCATGAACTGCTTCTAACGGCTCGGGGTCAAGCTCGTGGCCACACATTTCTGAAAAAACACGATAACCCTGATGATGTAGTTCAGTTGACAGTGTTATGCAATGGGTGATGCTAATCTTTGGAATATCCATACGGCTGACATGTTAGCTGGTGATGAAGGCTTTCTGGTAGGCAGCAACATCAATGGGCTACTTCGACACTAAAAATACTTGCTCTTCCTACAAAGTGAAAACTCACTGCACTGTAATCTTCGATGTATTCCAGCGCAGCTGTTCGGAGGAAATCACGTTTCAGTGTGAATGCCGCCGGTAAGAATTCGAACGCCGTCTTGGGATCGATGAGGCAGCCCAATTGAGTCTCAGCAAGCTGAATGTGCAAGGGATGCAAATGAACAACTTTGGACTTACAGAGGCAAGTTCGTTGCATTTGTAATCCTCCGCGGCCTTCATCACATCAAACACCTACGGAAAAGTAACCCTTTGCACCAAAACTTAGCAAACTAACCTCATAAATATCTAGCTTGTCAAAGGAAATGGAGTTCGTGTATAGAAAATACAACAGCAACAGGAATGTCACCGGCTTCACCGAAGATAGATCAAAAGACGCTTTCATCGGTTCCGAGATGAACAGCTGACGAAATACTTCGCTTCGAGCTGACAGAATGCACTTGTGAGCGAACAGCTTCTCGCGGTCCGGTCCAACGAAGAAGAGTACGTCACTATTTGCTCCTTTATACAAGTTAACACATATACCTGAATAGCTTTCTATTTACCAGCTTTGACATGTCTCTGGCTAGTGACTGGGCACTTCCAAAAGTCTGCTCTTTTGAGACGTTGAGTGAGTCTGCTCCGGACGGGGTTGATCGCTGTCGTATAGACTGACGTGCTGACATTATCCCTCCTGAATGCCTCAGTATTGTGCTCCGCAATACACCTCAGTTTCCAGAGACTCAAATACCAACACTTCCATTGATCAAATTTCGTAAGCGTGGGCTCATGGCTGAGGCAAAAATTGAGAAAAGTAAGTGTTTTACAGTCTCTATAGGACGGTTAAAGTGAAAATTGCAAGTACAAACCATGGAGTCAAAAACATAAGTTGCTTGTGTTTCGATACGCCAAAATTTTCCCGTTAACGTTATTGTACTTACTCCAGTGCCGACTTAATTGGCGTTAGGACAAGCAAACGTTCCATAGAGACTAATGGATACCGGTAGACGCGAACCCGAAGACGCACTCATTTCCGCAATTACACCTGAAACAGATGACTGTTATATGGCGCATGACGCCGTGAACACCTTACCGATCAAGTCCCAGATGGTTCAGGAAGCCGCACGACAAAATCTGCTGCTACAAGGACTCAAGTCAAAGCAACTCAAAAACTGCGTTATACAACTTTGGCGAGGAATATTCGGCTAAAAGATACAAGATCGCAGAAATGTACCAAAATATGTAGGCTTACAGGAAACTAACATAAATCGGTTTGACAAAGAACGGACAGAATTGGCACGATTTTGCGAACCGGCTGGCTATGTCTAGACACGGGTGGCCAAGGAAATGTCCAAAAGAAGAACTTGTTCAGTTTTACACGCGACGCGATGCTTTGTCAGCAATTGCTTCCTGTCCGTTCTTCGCCGATCGTCTCGTCATACCTGAAGTCCAGCGGAAACGCTTTTTAAGACAACTCTATAAAGGTCCTCCAGGAATTGTCCGAATAGGCAATGGCTCGGAGCTACGTCATTTGACCGAAACTTTAGAACCAGCTAAAGGACATTGCTCCTACTTGTACAAAATGCGCGTAACCTTACAAACTTCCGGTAAGCACAACACTGCAGTCTTGGTCCACGCTGCAATCGCCATGGTCACGGCTTCCGGTGAATTTTGTGGGACCGGTTGAAGAAGTTTCATTCCTTATATTTTTGGATACCGCAAGTACTCATGATGTAGAACGCATCAGCAACCAGTACACTACATACACTGCGAAGCATTTTCAGCCTGCATGGCCTACCAGAAACCAGTGCGTCTGATTACGGGCCGCAATGCACATCTCATCAGTTTGCTGGTTTTTATGCACGCAACGGAATCGAACACCTGAAGACTGCACCTTATCGCCCGCAATCTAATTGACAGGCCGAGGGCTTTATAGATACCATGAAAGGAGCTCTGTTACGATCGAAGGGAAAAGTGCAACTAGACGCTCTTAACAAACTTATCGAGTTGCTCCGAATCCAGATGCGCCAGATGAGAAGTCGCCTGCGGAAATACCTATGGACCAAAGACTAAAATCCACTTTGGTATTACTGACCCTCAAACGCCAACCATGTGCCGCACGAATCTCGTAATGGAAACCCAGTAGAATAGACGGCATGGAGCGCGACGTAGGGATTCTGAAGTCGGATTTTAGATGGTTGTCGTCTCTCAGCAGGGGAACAGAATCAGATGGAGATCTGGAGTTCTGGTACGGCGCTGTGGTCGGGTGATGTATGACATCCGTGTCGGTACGCAAGTGTGGATCCGCCATGCCAATCAAATCAGGCCACGCTACATAAGGGACGCAATAATATCTCACTCCAAATAACTTGATTTTGCTAAAATATTGGACAATGGCAAACCGATGGATTTCACCGACCAAAACCCTCAACCCTTGGAAAACCAGGGAAATGGAACACTGGGAAGGCCACAAAGGCGAAAACGATTTGTTCAGTCATTTCAAGTGAACTCCCAACGGAATTGCTACACTTCCCTCAGGTAACTAACTTTTAAGAAGAAGGAGGTGTTAGGAAGATGCTCCATGGACAACTATATTTTGGTACAATTCTTAGTCGCCTGCTTTCGTTTAGCTTACCTTTGCTCCTTGACAACTACTTGAAGGCATCATTCCTTCGTTTTGATTGGCTAGCCCACTTCGCTCATAATAGATGCTATCTCAGAGGCCTATTTCCACTAATACCTATTTCTCGAACTCGCCCGATTGGTTCTTTCCGTTGCCAATGCTCATTCGCCCGTATTATTCTTTGTTTCTCATGGTGTTGTTTGGCTTCAAGATGTTTTTGTAACTTTGGTTCATAAACTATTGTGCCCTTTATAAGGGAGCCGTGTTCTCATGCATGCAACCCGGTCCTGCCTCATCTTCGTTTTCTCCTTGCGGTCGTGGAGGTGTGAACATTCGGCAGCGACACAACAGAGCCGTTCCAATTGCTACCAGACTTCGTGACATTGCACTAATTTGAAAAAGGCTTTAGAGGAGCTACAAACTCGTCGGGGTATTGGTGTAACAAACTTACATACGGTGGCTTTTCGCGCAGTTCGGAAAACCTTGAGAGTTCATTGGAAGGCTATTCTGATCACCCCCGGACAGTAAAGCTTAGGGACGGACTGCCCGTGTTAATCGCTAACGTGCGCATTCACATGAATAGTCTGGATGAGATTCACATGCTTACCTCAGATACTCGTCCAGAGCTGATGGCGTTCACTCAAACTTGGTTATTCGCAGGCATCACGGATACAGAAGTGCCTATCCACGGATATCGCCTCATTCGGCCGATCGTCACGGATTGACGTCCGGTGGTGTGTAATGCCCTATTGGAAGACTGGTCTCAAAGCACCTTTAATTGAAGTTAGCATTGACCATCATGGCAATTTCTAGGCTCTCTGCTGCCGTGTTCATGATGGATGCAGATCTCTCTTGATCAGTATCGTCTACAGAGCGCCATCAGGTTCCGAAGCTTGTTTGTTGGATTCGATCAAGACGCACGGTGAAGGCAAGAACTTTCCAATCGTGAGGAATTTCAGTGCCCCAGATGTCGATTAGGACTTACTTCTTTGTGATCGCTCATCCGACTACCTTGATGCTATCCTACTTGAAAGCATTCTTGACTGCAATGTTTTTCTAGAAGTCATGATACCCACTCGTATTTTTCCAGACCAGATAAGACACCGTACATCCTGGATCTCGTGCTCTCACATGCACAGTCAGATGTCACGGACCTAACTTCTTCAACCCATCTGCAAAAGTGATCATTCTGTTGTTTCATTCCAAAGGACACGTCGCCTCACGACACATGGCCGATATGGTTATTGTCGGAACTTTTGACGTGTCGATTCACTCCGTCTGGGAACGACCGCAAGTGTTACGGACTGGGGTATCCCTGAACACAGTCATCTTGACAATGTGTGGAAGCTTGTGCTCGGGAAATGACATTGCTAACTGAACAAGCCGCTCCCTCTTAGCAAAGAAAGATTTTCACCAAAGGTCCACTTGGAATTGATCGTGAAATAAGATCCCTAACGAAGAGAAGGCGAAAATTATGCGATTATTTAAGCCAGTCTCAATCAGAACTCGATTCCCCTACTACGAGACGGTCAGAAATGTTTGTGTCGTCATAAAACGCCAGAAACGTCGCTTATACGAATTAGCATTAACAGAACACTCCGGAACGACGCCTAAAATGCTCTCCTCCTATCTAAAAGGAAGCATCCAAGACGGTAGTGTTATCGCTACCTTGTAATTTTTGAGCATCTGACCTTACTTCACGAGGACGCTGAAAATGCTAGTCACTTGACATTGTAGTACGCTTCTAGTTACGTGAAAGACACACCGCTATTCTACAGTTCTGTATCTGTTTTTCCCTCTGTATTGGATCACGTAGACATAACCACCGCTTCTGTGATGAAACTTCTTCTTACGTTGGTTCCTTACTGTTCACCCAGCCCTGGTGAGTTATACCAATTTTCCTCAGCACCGTGGCAGACTACATTATTTCACGTGTCTCTCAAGCTTTCCGTCCCCCCTTTGAAGCTTGACGTCTTCCGTCATCTTGAGGGCTGGCATCTTAAAAACTCATCTACGAAGGAGGAAATCGACAAGATAAAACCAGTTTTCGTCGAACTTGTTCAACCTCGATGGCGTGTAAAATTATGAAACGGATGCCGAAACAGGCTCTTTATCTCAAGTGTCGGAATGTCATCGCATATTTCCATCATGGTCTACGAAGAGCACACTCATATACCTCGAACTTGTTGGTTGTTAAGGAGAAACGTGCAACGTCACTAGATTCCGGTAATCGTTTGGACCTTGTGTTTGTTCGTTTCAGCAAAGCTTATGACAAAGTCCCGCATGAACGGTTTCTGTTTAAACTCTAATAAATTGGTGTAGATGGACATCTTCTCACTTGAATTTCCTATTTCCTAAACCAGAGCACCATAGTGGTGAATGTGAACGACACGTTTTCCTCCCATGTTCTCATTGTGATGGGAGTATACACTCGAACGAACGTGCGGTGCCAGCCCAGCAAGGAAGCCGTTAGGCTGCCGCAAGCAAAGGCGGCAGCCGATTGGACGTTCACACGTTTCTCGCATGCACGCTGATTGGCAAACAGCTGGACACATTGGAGTGAGTTTGTTTGACTGAATCAAAGGAAAAATGTCATGCATCAACAAAGGTCGTTAATTATGGATCCAACTAGCTGTATATACCGATATGTTTCACTCGCCCTCGGTCTCCGTTTTCGCCTGGTCCTGTTGTTTGCAGAATATACGTTTTGTCCCCGAAAGGACCGACTTTTAACATGGTGTCAGAGAAGGAGAAGAACATTAGTACCACCCAGACGATGATTGGAGCTGCACCGACTATTCAAATGCCTGCCCCGCTGAACATGGATGAACGCAGTTTGGCAAGCAACTGGCGTTTGTGGAAGAGCAAATGGATGGATTTCTGCACTTTATCGCGTCTGGACAAACAACCGATGGCGTACCGCTTGGTCGTGTTGCGACACGCAGCAGGAGACGATGCGCGCCGCGTGCTAGAGACATTGTGCTACGACAAGAGCGAAGATGCCAACAATCTGGAGACAGTTCTTGAGAAGTTCAGTGAATACTGCGAAGGCCAAACAAACGAGATATTTCAACGCTACCTCTTCTTTTCGCGGAACAGGCGGCCAGGTGAATCCGTTGACACGTACGTCACTGAGCTAAAGATTTTGGCCCGATCCTGCAGTTTCTGTAAATGCATGGCGGACAGTCTCATTCGGGACCGCATTGTTCTTGGGATCAATGACGAAAGTTTAACGAAGCGACTATTACGAAAGCGCAACCTATCTCTGCAGCAATGTATCGACATCTGTAACAGTGAGTCCTCCACTGCCTATCAGTTCCAGCAGATGACAATCACAGGTGATTCAGAGTTGTGCGCCGTTTCCAGGAGCAAAACTACGAGGGCCACGACCGCGCGACAGGAGCCCTGCAACTTCTGTGCAACACGACATCCGAGGAACCGTGAACAGTGTCCGGCGTGGGGCCGCATTTGTGTCAAATGTGGGAAGCACAATCACTTCGCCCGCTGCTGTCAGTCGACAGATGTCAGTGCACTCGTTCCAGACAAATCAACAGAAGACACCGAACAATCGATTGGTAATGTG